ATTTTTAAATAGTGTAGAATTCCCATCTACCTGCCTGTGCATTCAAGAAAATGTGTCTTCTGCTACAGTTTGAATTTGTGTCCTCCTTTTAGGGGAAAACGGCCATAAAGCATGGTATACTTTAAACTACTTACCTGCAGAAAATTTATTGTCAAACTTTAATTACCCTATTTAAGAAATGCACATACATTGTTTGGATCCCCCAAAGCCCTAATAGGAAAACGTTACTTTCATATCTGAAACATAAAAAAAACCCTAGTCTGTACCAAGATTAGTGACCACTTGGGAATACCAGATGCTGTAAGCTTGGATGTGTGAGTGGTGTAATGTAAAAGGGATCAAAATGAAAAGTTGGAAAACTGAGTTCAAATTCCAGTCAGATTCATCACATTCATATGCAAATAACTTTCAGAACAGTATGAATCTGCCTTGTCTTCCTCCAGCTAAGGTTTAAAATAGTAAGATCTAAGAAATTCTTACAATATTCACTCACAAAAACAAAATATAATTATTCTTACAATTCAAAAATGTGTTTTGTATTGAAATAACCTAGAAAAGGTTGATAAACCATAAAAAACAATCAATCAATTACAAACAAAATAATTTCTGAGGAGATAATGGATTTTATTTTTTAATCTGATATTATTTCTTATTACTTTAAATGTTAACACACAAACCCTGAAACTAAGGACTTTCCCATGGTGAAGAAGGAGAAAACCAAGTCTTACCTTTTAATAGAATTTGTGTTTTTTGTTAAAAAAGAAAATCAGAGTCAAGAACAAATCAAGTTTATTAGACCTCAATAAAATAATGCTACTTTGGACCACAGGTGAAACTCTTGGGTAATCGGAGGCAAAGAAGGTAGTTGTGCCTTTCCAGCTATGATGTGGATCCTTTAACCTTTTGATTTACGTCATAACACCACTTCCCACCAACATTTTCTGATGTTGGACTTGTGTGACTAATTTATGACCTTGTACATGAATTTTTGATCTGAACCTCACTATTGTTATTTATCTCACTCCCCTAATAAATTATTAATTCTAAACTCTCTCTCTCCCTCATTATATAAATAAATTTGACTGGCCTTTATCTGAAAACCTCCAAAATCAAACAGTTTTTCAGGTGCTGACATGACTTGCCAAAAATGGAAAATTTTAGAAAGCAACATGGCTACCCATAGCATGATTATTGCATTGTAGCGTTACAAAGAAAATGCTGACTGTTTTTAGTTTTCATTACATTTAACTATAATTAGAATACAGATATGTTTCTATTCTGTACCTGTATATATTGTAGCATTTTAATTAAAACACAACATTGTTGGTAGAGACTGATAGCTTACCAAATTTTCCTTCTCACACTCATAGTGATGCCATCAATGATGTACCCACTCCCTTCAGTTTCTCACACCTGATGTAAAAGTAGTGATTATGTTTCTTGTACACATACGAAAGTATAACACATTATTTTTATTTGAAATGTTAATTTCCACACATAAAAATCCATGTGAGCATTATATGATTAGTGTCATTACCTGTATGAGTATATACACAATATTTATTAAATTTTAAATAAAACTACTTTCAGGGTATATGTTATTTATATAAAACTACTTTCAGGGTATATGTTATTTATATAAAACTACTTTCAGGGTATATGTTATTTATATAAAACTACCTTCAGGGTATATGTATAAGCTGTGTTATGAAATGTAAAGGGATATCTATGCTTGGGTTTCATTCACAAGCTGCCCCATATTATTGATGATATATACAAATTAAATTATTTTTATTTAAAAATCTGAAAACCGAAGCACTTATGGTCCCAAGAACTTTAGATAAAGGATTCTCAACCAGTACAAGATAATGTTCTATAAATTTTTATATATCAAGGACAATGCTGGAGGGGTTCTGTGGTGTACGAGAAGTTTTCATGTGACGCATTTTGTCCTTTAGGACTTCATCAGAAAGTTTTTATGTTATTACTTTGATTTTTTCCTGATCACCACAAAAATATACTTTTATGACAACATAGACAAATATATATCTACATTTTAAAATAATTGTTCAAAAAACAACTTCACAGTTTTTAAATTTTGAGCTCTTCAAACAGAATCTTTCGATGAACTCATTATAGCATCAGCTATTATATCTATTTTCCTTAATTCATAAAAATGCCAAACACAATGAGACTTTAACTATATAATAATATAATAAACTGTCTATTTTACAATTGGAAATATCAAAGACAAAAGGGAGAAAGCGAACCTGACAAGCCTATGTGAAAAATGGCAGAATAGGGAATAGGAGGGATGATAAAAAGACAAACCTTACTAAGAGCTACAAAGGACAGGAAGTTGTGGAGAGTCATGAGTGCCCATTCTTGGTTTCACTTTCTTTTTAAGGGTAATCTGAGAGACTGAATGCAAGCTCACAAGATAGAAAGTGTTTAGGGAAAGTACAAGAGACTGAGTGCAAGCTCAAAAGATAGAAAGTGT